GAAACTCCACTATTTTTATACTTAAGTGTAAACTGGGGAGTCGCCAAGGCTTTCGTATCAGCAATGAGTTCCTTAAACTGAATTGAGTATTTATACTTTACACTTTGGGGGAAGGTGTGTTCCCAGACCCTTCAACTCTTCATGCTAGCCTCCCTGAAAAACCTTTGAAAATTACTTTCTGATGTGTTTTGCTTTACCCACCTAGAAAAGAGATGGCAGAAATTGGCAAGAACTTCCCTCGTTTGGGTACCACTAGTGTTAGATGAATGGATGAATGTCTGTTAGTCAAAGATAGACAGCATGTGTGTGGCCACTTCATACCTTGTCTGTCTTTTGTAAGGACACACAGCATCCTCTGCAGACACAAGGGCACCGATATCAAGGAAAAAAGCATAGGCAAGCCTCCTCTTGGCCATCAATCCCTTCTCTTTATAGGATTGTTTTTTGTTGTATTTTGTTTTTGGTTGGTAGGTGAAAAAAGGTTTAAGGAATGATGTGGTTATGACAATGCCTTATTCCTGGTCTCCTATATACTCTTGTATACATATGCACCATTTTTAAAATTCAGGAAAGGCAGTGGACATTGAAATAACCCACCTTACAAGCCATTATTCAACCTCCTCCACCAGCAGCGCAGAGCCACCTTTATTCTTAGAATTACAAAATATTCTCCAACTGCTAAGGGAAAGTGGTGTAGATTCTTCATGGGCTGATGAACATGAGGCTATAGGTTACAATCCTGATTTTTACTGGGATAAGACACCACCAACAGAAGGAAAATGAAGAAAGCTGTGTCTAAGAGAAGTTGTTGATTGAAGAAAATGAATTCAAAAATTTTCCATCCCTCCAGAGGGGATGAATGAATCAAAGAAACTGCAATATGACTGTTTATGCTATGCAAAACAACAGAGCCTTACTTCTGGTTTCTACATCGAACAGGAATTACAAGGGTGGGAACATGATGGGTGGGTTTTCCCTGAGTTATGTTCTCCCCACTGTCCTTTGCACCTTCCTTTTATAACAAGACTGAGTGCCCCCAAGAAGGGCACAGAGAAGCAGGGCACCTCTAGACCCCAACATCCCTGGCTCCCATCTATTTCAAGGAGCAGAGACACAGATCTTTAGGGCTGTTGCTTAATTGTAGCCTCTAATCAATTCTGAAAAAGACTTTAAAACAGACTAGCTTTAAAGGGATATAAAATGGCCCAAATCAGCCAATACAAATAATTGTCAATTTTTGTTTGAAATTAAGCCAATAGGTAGGTTAAAACATTTGCTTAATCATTTGGTAGGTACTAGCTTGTAGGTACTTGCTTGTTGCAAATTAATGAAATAGCTGTTGTAATTAAATCTCAGTAAGGGTGTTTCAAAGTGTCAAAATTACAATCAACTTCACTGATATGAGAGTCAAATCTCTTTGCTGTATCCAATGGCACAAGGCACCTACTCTGTAAGGGCAACATCTACATATGAGGACTGCCTACAGTGTTGTGAAAATTACTTAAATATGTTCATTCAGGAAAGATTTCACAACATGGGGTGACTTTGGTGACTGTGTGTTTGTGTGCAGTGTTAAGGACTGAACCCAGGGCCTCATACATGCTAAGAGAATGCCCTGCCACTGAGTTACATCCCCTTAGTGATTTTTTTTTGGGGGGGGGGTGGTCAGTCATGGGGCTGAACTCTGGGCCTAGGCACTGTCCCTCACCTCTGCTCAAGGCAAGCACTCTGCCACTTGAGCCACACCACCACTTCCGGCTTTTTCTGTTTATGTGGTGCTGAGGAATAGAACCCAGAGACTCATGCATGCGAGGCAAGCTCTACCACTGAGTCAACCTTCCCAGCGCCCCCCTTAGTAATTTTTTAAAGTTACATACCACTACAACATTTTAATTCCTTTAAAATCAGGGTGATACTTTGTCTTTTAGGGTTATACTTGCTATGATAGATTTTCATGAATTCCTAAAATGTTTAATAAACCTTAAATATGCACAAAACCACTGTTAGGCACTCAATACCTGTCTCTCACCGGATTCAATGAGAATCCAATGAACACTCAATATTACATATATATGTGGAGTCTATTTGTGTAACATTCTTGTATGGATCAACTAAAATATATAGTTGCAATGATGTTTCTTTATATTACAGTTAGGCCTTATTTACACGGTATGTGAAAATTTGGTTTCAAGAACTATCAAACAGGATTGCAACTTTTTCTTGACAATTTATAGTCATCATTGTTGAATAGAAGTAGTCATATACCCTGCATTTTTTAAATAGTCAACAGCTTCTCTCCCCTGAAGTGATATTCTCATCTTTATTTCTCAAGTAGCTGGGATTATAGGCATGTGCCACCACCTCTAGCCCCTATCTTACTTTTTAAATATATTTTCTTTAAGTCATTGTACAAAGAAGCTGCCATTCAACAAAGCAGTCTATGAATACAAGGCTTCTTGATCATTACCACCTCTTTCAGCTTTCTCTTCTATGCCTTACTTTTAATCATAGTTTTCCACGTTTTCCTGCTATTCTTGTGCCTGTAATTTGCTACCAGAATGATGTCTAAGGTAGTGGCACTAAATTCAGTGTCCATGTCTTTTTTGGTAAACTCTCTTCAATGCAGCCTTGATCTCTGGCTTAGCAGCCTTGGGGGATGGACAGCCCAGAGTGTGACTATGAGAAACTCATTCTCAAGAAAAGAGTTCTTTTTTTTTTTTTTGAGATTTTCATCTATGGCCTGGATAGTTGAGATTGCTGGGGATAGCTATCTCCAGAAACCACACCATACACACACACCCTTTCTCTGGCTACTGAAGTATGAGATATATTTAGTGCTTATGTAGTTTCAATAACTAAGTTTAATTTTCCTCTCCCTTACCAGATTTACTGAGCAAAATGACATTTCAAACCTTGCTGTAGTGGGTCAACAATCACCTGTCAGAACTCCAGGGTAGCATTTGTCTAGTCCTTGGCAATGTGGGTTTGAATCTTGGCATTCTGATGGCAAATGACCTAACTATATTGACTTTTAGTTTGTAGCTCTTCTTTCAAATGCAGGTAATAACAGTACTTCTCGGGGGAGGGAGAGGGGGGATGGGAGTTTGAGAGATAATGTATACAAATGTCTGGTGAAGTCTAAAATAAACTGGACTTCTAGCTGTAATCATCATAAAAACTTTTGTGGCTCTGTAGAAGAACCAGTTGTTGTGTTTATGATTCCCGAAGCAATATTCAGAGGAAAGCAAATTCCCTCCCTTACTTATTGTTTAAAGAGAGAAGTAAAATTTGTATCTGCAGCACACTGCTCTTACCTAACACTAGCTGATTACTGTCATGGTATAGAGTGCAAAGGAGCCAAGACTTTGCTTCTAAAATGTTAAAAATACATCCTAAACATTTACAGTGAAACAGTTTTATCTCAGTGGAAGAAACAGGCATACTAACATGAAAAAACACATTTTATTGCACTTAAGTTATAAGAAAATAAAATTTCTAAGTGAGTCAAACCATAGACACAATCCCTTTAAAGGTTGTTTTCCTCCATCATGTCAGGTTGGTACGTAACTAAAATTAACCAACTTGAATCTGACTGTTTTAAATCAGACTATAAATAAAACAAACAAAAAAAATAAACAGGAGGAGGAAAAAAGACCGCCTAGGATACAGTGTTAAACCACTTTCACAGTTCAGCTTGAGTTGTGGCTCCTGGAGAATGAGGCAAACCATCTGACCTTTCATTCGTGGCGCTGGTTTGCGTGTGACATGTTCACTACAGAGACTCAATCGTTCCTTTTTTTGTCAGTTACTCAGAGCAATAAAACTGTAACAGTTGTTTTCCCAAATACTGTAAAACGCTAAGACTGACCAGCAACTTTATTTTAACTTTGTGTTTTATGTATTTTTAAAATATCTGTCAGTTTTATTTTGTATGTTCATCCATTCACCACAGCCCTCAAAAAAGAAAAGTCTCTCCGCAGAACAGGCGGTAACAGCTCTGTTCCAAGGAATGTGTTTTTTTGTTGTTTTTTGTTTTTGCCCAGATAAAAGAAAATAAGCTTTGCACACACTCTCGATTCTTTACTTGCAGGCAAACTTCACTCTTTATTATCTGAAACTCTTCCACTCTCAGCCTCTTAGAGGCACAGATGGTTCAAGTTTCAGTGGCAAAAAGTCTTTTTTCTGTAACCAAACTAGAGCAAATTTGGAATTCAGTCTGGGACTAAAACGTCACAGCAGAAAAAAATAAAAAAAAATAATTTGCCTTTTTTTTCTTTCTTTCATTTAGCAGCATAAATAAGTTTGGCCACTGGGAGTACAGTACAGGGGTGGGACAACAATCCCATATTTGAAGACCTACTTCTAGCACCAGCGTCAAGGATTAAATCCATCTCAGGACTCACAGAACCCAGGACAACTTGCCACCTTTGAGCAACATATGCATTGAAGAGTGTAAATGGAAGCAACAGTAAATAGATTAACAGAGGCTAATACTGTGATTGATTGACATTGGCAATAGTTGGCAAAAAAGAAAAAGAAAAAGCTTTTCATGATAACTGTACAAAACAATTCACAGTATTTTTTTTTTTAGCTTTTCCACTTCAGAAAAATGACTTTTTGTTGCAGATGCTCTCTAGTTAGAAAGTCAACCAGTACTTGTTTTGTTATTACTGCAGCTCTTTGCTAGGTGACAGTAACAATATTTCGGCATTAACACTGCCCAATAACCACTGGAGAAGAAAATAAAGAAATAATTGCACCTGGTTTGATTTAGAAAGTCTCAATTTGCAAAGCTGCCCTCAGTCACAAATGAAGAGTCAGCTGACGGACGCCTTTCCTGTCAGTTGCATTTGTTGTCTGCTCCTCTCTTCCTTCTTGAACTGTAGGTCTTTTCAATCTGTTGCCCCAAACCAACATCCTGCACCACTGAGTACAAGGGATTTTTTTTCATTTTCTTTTCTTTTTTCTTTTTATTCTTTTTTCTGTTTTTTTTCTTTTCTTTTCTTTTCTTTTTTTTTTTTTGCGCAGGGAGAAGGGTAGGGAGTATATCGTCTACACATTTGGACAAAATTCATCTTCTGCTCTTTACTTCATGTCCACATCAAAGTCCAGCACCAGCAGCTTGGTTTCTTCAGTCCCATTCCGACTCCCGACTGCACACACCAGCTTTGTGTTCGAGGCTCTGATCCTCCACACAACTCCCCCACTGCCCCCACTTTCCAATGTGACTAGATTTCGAATAAATTCACCCGTTTTCAAGTCCCATAGTTTTACAGTTCCATCATCTGAACTGGTAATTACAAAGTTCTTGTTGAACTGTAAACAGGTCACAGCACTCTGATGCTTGTTGGGACCTAGGCAAAACCAAAGGAATTTAATTACTGGTTAGAAATCCTAGTTATGGGTCTGTTACATTATAATTTCTAGACTTTTTACATTACAATATACACTAAATGCAACATTTAAAATACTGCATATTTAGAAACCTTGTTCTCAAGTATTTTAGGATCAGCATGGATACAAGAAAGTCTGGTAGCTATTTGTAACTGAAACATTATCTTTCAAGAGTTCTATCTTCCAGGAAGCTTGGTTAGCTACCAGGCACACATTTTCTTCTCTGGCTTTGTGAGGGAGAACTATGCCTAGCCATGACAGAGTTGGTGAAACTTTGTGTATTCTGCTGAGGGACAAATGAGCATGAGGGAATCTATTGCCTGTTATTCTGAACTGACCAGCCAAGGTGAAAGCTGAATGAATACTGTTCTAAAAACTCACAGGAAGAGGTAAAAGCAACATGCAGAAAGCTGCCATGATACCCGCCAGATGGCTTCACTAAAAAAAAAAAAAAAAAACAGTTTCTGAGAGCTCTGACTAGAAAACAGAAAAAGTTAACCATGAAGAGCCCCACTGCTGTGCCTGGTTGAATAGGAATGACGGTAGCCTTCTTTTAGCTTAGAGTGCACTATTATGCTTTTTCAGTCAGTTTAAACAGGTGACTAACTAAAGGCCAGAGTAGGTTTTTAACAGCAAGAATAAAATTCAAAATACAACGAACATGTTGCTTCTATGAGGTGGTGAAGATCTTTCTTCTCACTTTTCTTTAAGGTTAAGCAGAGTCAAGTGAACACATAGGAACTGATTAAACAGTTTTCTATTAAAAATGCAATTTCAAACAAGTTCTTATAGGAACCTACTTTGTATGCGAAAATAAAATACCCATTAACTTTTCAATATTAAGCATTTTGCATGAGATTAACATTGTGATGCTACATTTCTGTCCAGTTTTCTCTACTGAGTAATTATGGCATTTGTGATGACTATAATCAAAGTCAGACCAGTACCTACCTTGCAATGTTTGTAAACACTGTCCTGTTTTGATATCCCAGATTTTAACTGTAGAATCTGCATTCCCAGAGACAAGAATATTGTCTTTGAGTTCCATTCCACTTGTTAAGGACTGGTGCCCTGTTAATGTGTGAATGCAATTTCCTGTCTCCACATCCCAAACTCGGATTGATGTATCAAGAGATCCACTCACCACATGGATGCCATCAAACTACAACAGACACATTGTATTAGAAAGAAGTATGGGTATGATTTATATCAGTTATTGACTTATTCCTCTAGGGGAAGGGAGCACATGGACAACAGGTAAGGCTGAAAGCACAGTTCTAGGAAAGTGTGGCAGATAAAGTAACCTGCTTGTCATCAAGCAACTCCACAGTGTAGTTTCTAGGACACCACTTTCATAAATGCTATTTTTATATACCCAGTAGTTTCAAAATAAAGGTAGAAACAAGGAAACTGAATCCTGAAATAATCAACAACAGTATTTCTGGATCATCTGGTAGCTATGTCCTATGGACTATTCAGTGAGGCTTTCAGAGTTTTAGTTCCTTCCCTACAGGAAGCTGAAACTCATGCCTGAGCTTGACGTAAGAGGTGTGCTTATCAGCACCTGAGGCATTAAAAGGGAGAGAGATACCTTTCATCATGTTTAAAAAGCAAGTACCATTAAAAAAAAAACTGTAGGTAAAATAAAAGTAGTTTACAGGATGCTAATGCTAATTAAAAATGTATGAAGGATAATGATATCTGGACATTCTGATGACAAAGCAAGTCATATAGCTGTCTCTTCTCTAGCTTCCTAGTCACATCACAAGTCAATAATTATCCATTGGTTCCCACTTAGCCAGATATAAAAATTCGGGCATCTCTTTTCTCTTGTTTTGAGAATGTTATATTCATTTAGGTTCTAAGCCTATCATCAAACCAAAAAAAATTTCATCTCCTTTCAATTTAATCAACACTTTAATTTTCATATCACTATTTCATGATATAGAAGTTAATCAATTAAGAAATGAATACCCTAAGAACAGCAATGTCAGCACTGGAATTATGTACTAATTAGCTGATCATTAACAAACAATAACTAGTAAATAAACTATATAAGTAATAAAACATTTTTTAATGGAAAATGCTGTCTCTAAAAGAAATAAAATACCTATTTTCTAAATTTGCTATTAGTCTAGTTAATGATTATGAAATATGAACAACAAAAAAAATTAGGTTAGTCAAATTTCCTTCACGGCTACCAACCAAAGGCTCTGTATAGAAAGGCTCCACTGCTACTGTAAATGGGACAGGATCACAACCACCAAGTTCCATCAACTTTTAGCTATCACAGCAAAGTGGCAGCTTTTGGCCAAAGTAATCCTCTGCTAAGAAGTTTATTAAAGTCAAAGTTATTTTCCTATGAGACTATTAAATTATACAGCAAAATTTACAGTCCCAATGTTTCAGGTTCTAAAGACAAATATTTGCACTTTGGAGGGAAAATGGATAGCAGAATTGAAACCAGTTAAAGAGTTTTGAAATTTAGCTTTGTTCATGCCAATTTTATAAACATGCAAACAAGCTATACATTGGTGGCTTGTGTCTGCAATCCTAGATACTTGGGAGGCTGAGAAAAGGAGGCCAAATCTGGCAGAAGATTCACAAGATCTCTTTCTCAATTCATAGCATGGGAAGCTGATGAGATTGGGAGGATCATGGTGCCAGGCCACATCAGAGAAGAAAAGCCCATGAGATTCGGTCTCCACAGCAGGGAAACTGGATGCAATAACACATTCTGTGATCCTTGCTACAATGAGAAGCCGAACAATAGGAGGATTTTGACTTAGTTGTATACCCTAGTGAAGTGAGACTCTATCCTAAAAATTAACTAGAAAAACAGGGCAAAAGGCATGGCTGAGCATTAAGTACATACCAGCCAGGCAAGAGAGAGGCTGAGTTCAAACCCCCAGCATATGTAAAATGTATAGGGGTAAACAGGAGATTAACTGGATTCATCCTCATCTTTACAGGACTGAATTGAATCAGCAAGTTGACAGTGATTATTTGACAGAGTAGAACAATCTTATGATTCATTAGCAGAGCACGTAAGGGATGGAGAGATAAGATCTCTTACCTGTAATGAATAGACTCTATTAGTATGCCCTTGCAACGTGTGTAGACAGGTCTCAGTCTCTGGATCCCACACCTTCACCATAAAATCATACGCTCCACTAACAACCCTCCTGCCATCATACTGAACACAGCGGACTGCTGCTACATGACCCATCAAGACATGTAAACACTGGCCTGTCTCGATATCCCAAACCCTAAGGGTGGCATCTCGAGAACCACTAACAACTCTGTAAGGGGAAAGAGAAAAAAAAGCATTGGATTTTTAGTAACATGAAGAAACAGATCAAGTCAGTAGGTATTTTTTCCTTTCTTAAGCAGCAACACCTGTTTTTCACAAGAAATCTTATTTAAAACTTTCATATATAAAGACAATATTGAGTTACTCAGATTGGAATGCTAAGTGGGGAAGCCAAGAATTTTACCTGGTTGGTTCCTTGACTTGGACCTTGTGTTCTAGCACCTGGAGGTTCCGTGGAACAGAGTTTGAAAAAAACCTCTGTTATTATATTTTAAAAGAAGGCCACTATCAACATAAACAATATTTTAGAAATAAAATGGCAATGTGTATATATATAAATACTAATGCAAGTCTAGGGAGTATTACTTTGAACAACTTAAATTTTTTTAATGTTCTCTGTTGTTTCCTTCAATTTCAATATGAACACTTACTACCTTTGTGGCTAGGTAAAAAATTCAGTAAAGGTTCCTCAAAAGATTTATAACCAAATTTATAACCAAAATTTGGGGTTTAGACAGCTATAGATATTGTTTTACACCTTATATTCTGGTAAAATGTACTAGATTTAGATATGTGCTCAAAGAAAATATGCTTGTGCTTATTATAATGCTTAAATATCCAATAGGTTACGGGGATATTCAGATCCATGGATTTTTAAAGATATACCTGTAGAAGCTATAGAAATTCCTTAAAACTTTGGCCTAACATGATTAAAGTTCTGAAAACCAGAGCGATTTCAATCATGTAATTATCTCTGGATTATAAAACAAAGCTGAAAACCCAGGTGTTCTTATCATTCCTGAGCAAATGCAAATTCCAAGTTTGAAAGAGTGGGACATTGAAGCACTGAGAGACTGAATATAACTGCAAGTGAAGTGCAAGATCTCTTGATAACCAACCTCAAATTTAAACTACATAGCACACTGAAGTAGATTCAAAGTATGAGTAAAAAGGGCTCTTTTCTCACAACTCAAGAAAGACATCTTCTTACTATAATGGTGCTATGGACAAATTTATAGGTATAAAGAGATTTATCTCTTTTAAACTCAGGCTCTTACTATGTAGTCCAGGCTGGCCTTGAACTCAACATCCTCTCCTGCTTCAGTGTTCGGAGTGCTGTGCTACTGTGTGTCTGGCTAAAGAGAACTTCAATGACAAATGGGATAGAAAACACATGATGGAATTTCACCAGGAGAGCACTACAAGAGGGGTCTGGTTTGGCTCAAACCATCTTGAAAACAGGACTGAGGGTTTCTTCCTCAATTCAATAGCCTACACTTGCAGACTCCAAAAATAAAGACAGGGCAGTGATGTTATCGTAATTAGATGAGGGCTTTCTGTCTGCTGTATAAAAGACCATGCTTTAAGCCATGCCAATAGTTCTAATGACAGATGATAAGTGAAGATATTAAAAGCCACAGGTCTCAGCTTTTGTCTCAATGGAGGGGGGGTGGTGATAAGGTAGGTGGGTAATTCAGAAGGCTGAGTGACTAAATTTTTTATACTTTCAAAATTATGAATACCAAGAGGCAGAAAATCATTTTTTGAAGATGATTAATCATCAAAGAACAATAAAACAGGCTAAGGAGGAGAGTTTGAAGGAGGAAGCCTATAACACCATCAAATAAGGAGGGAAATTTAAAGATACTTCTCTGTTTTAAGTCAATTCTGTCTGACTCTCTTAGTTTAGAAACATCTGCAGTCTAAAAATTAAAGTCTAATTTAAGAGGTCATTATCACTGTTCTCAGTAATGCCACAAATAAATGCCACAAATTCACAAGTGATAGGGAGAAATCCCTGCCATGATACGGTATTTTTTCTTTACCTTTTTTCATGGAGATGCATACAACGTACAGTGGAAGTATGCCCATACAAGGTGTGTATACATTCTCCGGTCTCAGCATTCCACACTTTGAGAGTCCGATCTGTGGAGCCACTAATGATGATATTGTCTCTCATCTGGGATGACCACACTCCACCTGTATGTCCCACTAATGTTCTTAGACACTGGAAAAACACTTAAGTTGATTAATTTGAGGTAGAAAATTCAAACAACATAACAACAGCTCGTTAAAATTTACAGTAAGTTATTTATTCCATTTGGTCCAGCAGAAAAAAACTCTGTACATCAATACAATATGGCTCTATCACTACCTATTCCTTTTTGTTCATTCAACAGTATCATATACTTACATGGATACATCAGTAAAACACACAGAAAGCAAACATGGTATGAAACATATGATAAGAATCACATACGATAAGAATCACATGAGATAAAACATATGATGTGAATGAAAGCAAACATACTGAGATGAAAGCAAAGTATGATAGCTCCAGCCTGCCCTCCTTAGTGAAATAATATGTAAAATTGCAACTTAGTTTCTTCCTGGGAATAGAGTCAATAAAAGAATGCCAAGAGAGTTGGGTGTGGCTCCATACCACATTTCACATGAATCTGCCCAAGGCAGTAGTTAGGAGCCAGACAAGCTACTTCTAGACAAGTAAAGACAGACATTAAAACCCTGAAATAAATCCAAAACTAATATTACACCATGCAAATATGAAGCTGCTTTAAAAAATTTTACCATCTGACTTGGAATATTTATAAGATTCTTGTCCAAGAAGCAACATGATACAAGACATTTTCATAGCATATTTTTTCATACTTTCTTCTTTTAGTTTTTAGATGGCCAATTATTTAATTAATGACAATACTCTTCTTTGGAAAAATAAAAATTAATATTTACTAATCATCAAGGCATAATATGTGAAGTAAAGCTATTCCTTGAACTGCTTTTTCCTTCAAACATATATTTAAACATCTACTCTTCTTAATTTCCACTGGAGATAACTCTAGATTAACACAATTTACTTCTAAGTTATAGGTAGGTAGCTCATCAACAAAGAAATTCACAAGGAAAACTAAACAACTATACTTTTTGAAAGACATTCAGAAATAATGTAATGTAACGTGGAAAAGAAAGGTGAGAAGTAATAGGCCAAGAAAAAGAAAAGGTGCATTTGAAAATCCTTATGATACTTCAGTCACAAAGGCATAAAGGAAATCTAATAGTCTCCTATCATGGTAAACACCATTTCCATCATGCCATAGACTTTCCTAAATAGGAAGGGAAAGGCAGAATTAGAAGCCCTGATATTTGGTACCAAAACAAGTGTGGCTCAAATCTTTTATGAGTTATTATTTGCAAAAATATGCATTTACAATGGTAACTTGGTAAAGTGCAGAAAGAAATCAACTTACTTTGCCTGTGACTGCTGACCAAACTTTTAAAGTGTTGTCATCAGAACCACTAACTATTCGGTTACCACAGAACTGTAAGCATGTGATCACATGATCATCATGTCCTTTCAGCACCTATCAGGTAGAGGTACACATTAGAGACATGCTACCACATTGTATTCTTTACAATCTGGTGAGAGGAAGAAAAACAAAGTCATAAACAGAACCAGTAACCTGCAGTCTACTTCTAAAATTAAATTATGTAAGGTATGAGGCACCATCTTTCCTTTCCCTGGCTGATGAATTAAGCATTGAACATTTTTTTAATCCATATTCTATTACTTACATTTGAAATACCCCCTTTTAAAATCTGAGTCAAAACCTCATAAAGATGGTTCAAGCACAATGTATTTTATAATCATCTATTTTATCTGTTTAAATCAAAAGAATATGTATCCTTTATTTGCAATTTGGGCATACAAGAACAAAAGAAAGCATCACTTAACCAAAAGACAACAGTAACAATTATCTGCTTTTTCAACTTATGAATCAAAAACCTGTGACACCTTATACATGTCAATTTGCCAGCATTTTCCCAAACTGGCTGCTTCTCCCATTATAAAATTACATCTAAGAATTTTAAGCATTTTTAGCATTTTTTACATGCTGTAAAACAGAAAACTAGAATTATGCTTCAATTCATAAAAATAAAACAGAAAAGTCACCAAAACCAAAATGAAGATTCTCCTCATTTATGCTTCAATTCACAAAAATAAAACACAGAAAAGTCACCAAAACCAAGATGAAGATTCTCCTCAAGAAATCAGTTGAGCCAGGCACCAGTGGCTCACACCTGTAATAGTAGCTAAGCCAGAAGGCTGAGATTTGGAGATCAAGGTTTGAGAGCAGTCCAGGCAGAAAAGTCAGAGAGAAGGCACCAAAATAACCAGCAAAAGCTGAACTGGAGGTATGATTATGTGGTGGAGTACCAGTCAAGCAAGCAAGCAGAGTAAGCACAAGGTTATGAATTCAAACTCCAGCATTAGAAAAAAAAATTATGTGGAGAGAAGTTACAAATAGAGAATGTATATAACACAATAAAATTTTATATATGGATATTTTCAGATTGTCCTTTACGTACAATGACATTCTTCTCATCTTTGATTCAAGTGAAATTTGTTGTCAGTGAAAAATGAGCAATAAAGGAATACTGTAAATTATACTTTTCATTATTTCAATATATCGTAGCTTTGGTTGGGAGGTGGTGGCAGTATTCAGGTTTGAATTCAAGGCCTTACATTTGCTAGGCAGGCTCTCTACTACCTGAGCCATGTCCCCAGTCTTTTCATTTACTTTTCAAATAGAAATTTTTCTTACTTTTGTTCAGGCTGGCTTCTGATCACAAACCTCCTACCTACACCTCCTTTGTAGCTGGTATTACAGGTATGAACCAATATGCCCAGTTTGTTTGTTGAGGTATGGGGGTCTAACTTTTTGCCTGGACTGGTTCAAACTACAATCCTTTAATCTTTCAATCCTCTTTCACACCCCAAGTAGCAGTAGCAGACATTACAGGTGTGAACTATCATGGTTAGCACATTTTCTCACATAAGTGACACTGTTTTCTAAGAAACAGTACATTAGGTTCAGCCACTGATTAATGCCTTCCATTGCATTGTGCAAGAATTCAGGTACCTTAGGAGATTTGAGTTCTCCTCGTCTCCAGTTCGTATCAATTCTATGCTGTCTGATGTATGCACTTTTCCATGGACTGTGTATGAAACCTGGTTTTATTACTTTTCTTCTCTTGATGTGCAATGGTTCATCAATCCCTGTAGTGTTAAAAGTTCAACAGCATAAATCCAGTAGTAACAATTACATATTGTATAATGTATCTTATAATCACACATATTTCCCCAGGAGACACAGGACCCACCCCAGTGAAGGACACTCACTAGACTCCTGTAGAGTTTATGGGACCTAACCAGAATTGTCTCAAGGAGGCTTGATCTCCTACTGTGACAGACTCAGCTAACTTTAGGCCCAATGTTATTTTCTGCTGTGCTTTATCCATAAACTTCAGAGCCCTGTCCAATTGCTAATCTTGTTAGCAAGTACACAAGCACAACACACTGCTCCATTCCTTTCTCACAGGAATTCCAGGAGACACTGGTGAGGATGTACAGTGCCCGGAGTGCTGGGGCCTGGTTTGTACAAGTGAAAATTGGTACAGCTACTGTGGGAACTAGTGATGCAATTCTTCAAAAATGTAGTACACATGAGCTAGCAATTTCAGTTTTGGATATATAATCCAAAAGTATTAAAAGCACAGACTCAAACAGGTACCCATGCTGGTAGCAGTATCATTTGTAACAGTCAAAATGTCTGTTAGATGAATGGACAAACAACATGATACATGTACACAGTGGAATATTATTCAACCTTTAAAAAGAGAATCTGTATACATGCTGTGATATGTATGGATCTTGAAAATACTATGTCAAATGAAACAAGATTAATTACAAAAACAAACTCAAATATCATATGAGTTTTACCAAATGAGGTATCTAGAACAATCAAATTTATACATATAAAAAGTTGTTGCCAAGGAAGTGGCACTGTGGCTCAAGCGGTAGAGCACTCGTCTTGAGCTGAAGAGCACAGGGACAGCTCCCAAGCCCAGAGTTCAAGCCCCATGACCAACCAAAAAAAAAAAAAAAAGTTGTTGCCAGGCTAACAAAATTTATTATTATTATTTTCTTTTTTGGTGGGGCCAAGAGGAAAAGGGCCTTTATTTCCATATGTGAGGTCTTCAAGGGAAAGTGCAGCCCAGTGAACAAAATTAATTATTTCTAGAGATGCTGTGCAAAAATGTGAATACATTTAAGATCACTGAACTGTATACTTAGAATCATTAAAATAACCCATTTTATAATATACGTATTATCATGTTTTAAAAGACATTAAAACATGATCCTATAAGAGAAGTTCAGGCAGCAATGATTAGTTTCACTGCGCGTATAAAGATACAGGAGAAGGAAGACTTCACTATTAAACTAAGTCCCAGACTGGGTCTAAACCTGAAAGCTTTATAAACCTGGACAAACCATCAATGCTTCCCATTTGCCTATACACAACAAACGGCAATCACCCTCACAGAACTCCTCTACCTCTATGATTCTTCACAAAAATTTATTTCTTAAAGGAAAACAGCAGTTTTACACATTTCTGCCAAACTGTATAAAAATGTTACATATTTTTTTTCTAAATGCCTACTGGAAAAAAAAGCTCTCGTTTTCATTAATGTACATGGCACTTACTCTTCTAAGAAAGAGGATTTAAAACAAAATGAAAGTGTTCAAGGACTATAAGCTCTATGGCAGGAAGAAAATGGCTGAGCAGGGATAGGCCCAGTATTCACAAAGGCCAACTTCTTAGGCACTGTATTGCAGGAGGAAATTAGGGAGGAAGTTATGTGGGTATATAACTTGTAAGATAATCTGTGGGCTTCCTCTAAATTGTCTCCATCTACCTTTCATTGTTGGAATCAAGTAGATAGATGAGTGTGAATGGAGTTCCATTCTTCTATCTGGACATGAAGCTTATTTTGTCTACTTGTTTTTCAAATTCTCTCTACAATTGTGAACCTTACCCTCTTCTTTGCATTTTTCTCTCCAGAGAAGGTTGTCTTCAGCCAAAATTCTCCAGTAGCGACACGTCTGAGCCGCTTGCAGCAGGTCTTTGGGTTCCAGGAATGAAAGCACATAAAGCGCCAGCTGTGGAAAAGGAAAGGGCATACATAGTATACTCACATGAAAAAAAACTATAGAAGAGTTAACCATTCTCCACAGAATACTTACATGTAAATGTAATTCTACAAGTTTCTAAAACTACGAAAGACATACCTTCAATCTTAACAAATTTAAACTAAATAAAAAATAAATACCCACTCTATTGTTTATATCTTAAAAACACTGATTAGACGTCTCTGTTCTTGCCTTTGCTCTTTGAGCCTCAACATGTGTATGTATGTACATATATGTTTCTTTTGCCCACTCCAGGTCTTGAATTCAAAACTTTATGTTCTTCCTCTTGCTTGTTTGTTCATGGCTGGTCCTCATCAGCCATGCCTCCAGCCTCATGCTTTTTTTTTGGGGGGTCTGGTCGTGGGGCCTGAACTCTGGGCCTGGGTACTGTCCCTCAGCTCTTCAGCTCAAGGCTAGCACTCTACCACTTGAGCCACAGCGCCACTTCCGGCTTTTTTCTTTTTGCTTATGTGGTGCTGAGGAATCGAACCCAGGACCTCAGGCATGCAAGGCAAGCACTCTACCACTGAGCCACCTTCCCAGCCCCCAGCCTCATGCTTTTTGCTGGTTGTTTGGAGGTAAGTCTTTTGGACTTTTCAGCTCAGGCTGGCTTCAAGCAGTGATCTTCAGGATCTTAGCCTTCCCAAGTAGCTAGAATTACAAGCATGAAAAACTGCCTGACTATTATTAAACCATTCCATAAGCAAATAAAAGTAATAGGTTCTAGTTACTTAATACTGTTTATGAGGATTTTTTGGGTCAGGTCACATAGAGGTATGGGATAATAGCCTCTGAGCATGCTTATTTTCAAGCAGTAATACAGAATTAAAATTTGAGTTAAAATAAAATGTATATCAATAGAGCAATCAAGCTTATTATTTAATTAAGAGACAAGGATTAAATTGAACTATTATTTAAGTCATACATGGAGTAAAAACATGACTTGAATTATTCTGTTGAATTCCTAAATAGGAATTACACCCTATCAATCACTTTATAGAGTCAATCATTAATCATTTATTGGCATCTTCCATATTCAAACTATACTATTAACCAGCATTCAGCTTAACATTTTTGATGAATAGCAAAAAAACTTTATGAAACAAGATGTTTGTCTATCCAAGACCATTCAGTATATGTATAAATGTTATTTATAAAAAGGTGTGTATTTATTATGTGCACCGACACTTTTTATACATACACATAATACATATACACACATCAATATTGTACTTTGTTAATTTCATTAACTACTTGCTACTTACCAGTCAATCAAAGCCTAATTCGACATCACTGTATTATCAATCTATGAAGTTGTAAAGTCAACAGAAACCAACAGACACAAAGATAATTTGTGCAGGAGATGATAATTAGTGCCCAAAATATTTATGAGTCATATAGAAAAAAAGGTCATGCTTTAGTTTATCTGGCTGAAGAATAAGTTTGGTAATTAACAAGAAGAAGCAGCAAAAAAAACCTAGAACAAATAAGATGTTAAAAGTACATTCTCCCCCCCCTCCTAAATCAACAGGTAAAATCTCCTTCATTAATAGTGATCAAGTCCAGTGAATGCATGCATTAACAAGAAACTAATGCTAAGAAAAATTGAAGTGCTAACTTCATTTCACTTATGTTTGTCTATTTATATCTAGCAAGTTTCATCAAACTGGAAATGGTACTTTTTTCTTATTTTTGTCATTTAGTAATGTAACTACCTTCAAGAGTATAGTTTAGTGATTATATTGAACTGCGTTTCTTTCCTCATATGTGCATTGTATAATTATTGTAAAATATGCAGAATTTCATATGTGTATGTATTTCTCTCTGTCCTCATCTATTCTCTCTCTGCCTTCTCTCTTTCTCATCCCTTACTTTCTGTTACTTCTCCTACAAATTACAACAAATTAGTTATGACCATTTCTAAATCATGTACACTGATACTACCTTATCGTCAATTACAGTCATATGGGTATTCTTGACTTTACGTTGTCTCAGAAACAAATTTGATGCTTGCTAGTTTTTTCGAAAACTGAATCTGTTGAATAGACCAGCTTATGAAAGTCACATAAGCATTCTTTGACTCCAGAAGCACATTAATAGGAAACTTACCTCTTTTGGGAGCAAGGAAATGAAGTCTCGTTGAAACTGAGGTTCTATCACTTGCATCATATGCTTCACTTGTGTTGGTTCACAACTATCAATAAGCTCATCTAAAGCAAGCAACTTCTCTGGTCCACTCCAGCTCTACCAAAGAGGAATTAGAAACTTTTATTATTTTGACAGATGCCTCTAATTATAAACTCACAAAGGAAAATATCTATCACTCATAGCCATGTCTAAATGGCAGAACTATATAAAAAAGTGTGGACAGAGACATAGAAGCCACTGAAGAAGTAATGATTCAGTTTAGTCAAGTTTGCCATCTTATTGTAAAAGCTTTAAAAAAAATTCATGATTCTGACAGAATAATTATTTCTGTATTATATTTTTTGTAGTTGTTACATGTTCATCTACCACCAAGATACAGCTTTCAATGCCAAAATTTTATTCCAGAAGTATTCATTTGAGTTACAGAGTAAAAAGGAAATTTCTCTATATTCTTTCTAGTGGGCATGACAGGGTTTGTTTTAATAAGGTTTTCACCATAGGTGAAAGAGATGATTTACATCATTTAGAGAAAAATTAATGACCGGATTTCTTGCACATCTACCAAGTGCGTTCTATTAAAAAAAAAAGGGTTTAGGTTTGTTTTATGAAACTAGAAATAGTAGCTTAGTAGTAAAAGCAGAATACAAATAAAGACCAAAAGAGAACAACAAAGTACTTTATCACAGAAAAGCAAAAATACCTAATTATACCCCCAAATTATGAGTTGCATTAAACAACAGTAGGATTGATGTTTTTTAATTCCAATAAAGAGCAGCTGCAAACATTCAAGAAAATACTCAAATGCTGGGTGAATGTTAGAATTTCACAACTGTAATGTAAAACACTACAATAACCCCATAATAATTAAGTGAACAGGACTTTTGTTTCTGTAAATCTAAGCTGATCTATGTACTTCCATGAATTATTATGACCCACTTCCAAAATGGAAGTGGAGAGAGATGAGTTGGATTTAGAAGTAGCGGCATTCTGACATTCCATTTCTTGCTGAAGCAAGGAGCTTAGACTGTATAATACCTAAGGATCTCAGGAGTCTTATTTAGAACACCTTGTAAAAAAATTTTTTTTTGTCGGTTGTGGGGCTTGAACTCAGGGGTCTGGGCGCTATCCCTGAGCTTCACTGTGCTCAAGGCTACCACTTGAGCCACAGCACCACTTCCAGTTTTTAGTTTCTTAGTTTTTTGTTGTTTTGTTGTTGTTGTTGTTTTGAGTAGTTACTTGGAGATAAGGTTCTCACAGGGACTTTTTTGCCTGAGCTGGCTTCAAACGACAATCCTCAGTTCTCAGTCTCCTGAACAGCAAGGATTACAGGCATGAGTCACCAGCACCTGGCTCTTAAAAGTATTTTTTTAAGTATTTTTTTAAAGTATTTATTACTTGGGCTGTTAAGGTCGCTCAGTGGTGGATGCATGAGGCCCTGGGTTCAATTCCTCAACACCACAGCTAGCCTTGATCTAAGGAGCTGAGGGACAATGCCAAGGCCCAGAGTTCAGGCCCCATGAGGAAAGAAAGAAAGAAAAGAAA